CTGCACTTACGAGCTCGACTCGCGCGACAGCAGAGTGATGCGTGGGCAGCAGCGCACCGCCTCCTTCCTCGTCCCGGACGCTGGCTACACGGGCGACCCGAGCCTCGCGGAACTCGCGGCCTCGCGCCTCGCGCGCGCGCCAAACGGCCGTATCATGGCCGTCGACGTGCGAGTCTACGACGTGACCTACACGAGATTGTGAGCTCACAGAGCGCTCGGCTGCCTCCGTGCCCGGGCCGGCGGCCGCGTCGCTGGCCCGTACGACCGTGTTGGACCGCGAGCTGTCTCGCGCTCGACACGCACCGCGTAGCTTCATATGTTTAAAAGCATGATTCACTGCCAATTTCTTTTTGCATATATCTTAGGGCGCACAGCCGCGAGAGAGCCACAGCGGCGCACAGGAGTGTCTCAGCGGGACAGGGGGTCTCAGAGAGGTAAGGTAAGGTAAGGTAAACTTCTCCACACACACGAGGTGGTGGGGCAAGGGGGGGCAACCCTCGCGTCTCCACGTCTGACGACAGGAGCCCCACGGCATTCAAAGTGCAAGGCCCAGTGCGCGTGGGTGAGCGGTGTGTGTGTGTGTGTGTGTGTGTGTGTGTGTGTGTGTGTGTGTGTGTGTGTGTGTGTGTGTGTGTGTGTGTGTGTGTCACGTCACTGCATCCTCCGCCGGTTCCTCCCGTCGCCTCTTCTTTGTTCGAATGTTTTTCAATCCATCCTTCACGAAGCCCTCCCATGTAGCTAGCGTTCTTGGCGAATGTCTCGAAATGGCCAGCAGGCGCTGTCTGCTCGCGGTCTGTGCGGGCCGCTCGTCCTCCTCGCCCTTCTTTCGTCCTCCCGTCCCTCCCCTCCACCATGGCCTTCTCGGCACTTCTTTCTCCATCCGCCTCGCCCTGCCTTTTCGCATCGTGCCGTTCGCCCTCCATTCGGTGACCTCCATGGCTGTCCGCCCCTTTTTGGGTGGCGCTCTCGATATGGTTGCGTCAACCTCGATGTCGCTGTCGCCCTCCCCGTCCCCGCCGGCGTCCGTGCCTCGGTTCGCGTCATCGGTAGCGTCTCCGTTGTTCCCTCGTGCCCCGCCGTCGCCCTCTCTGCTCGGGCCGTTAGCGATTTCGCTCCTCCTGCGTGTCGCCCCTCCGTCCCCTCCCCTTTCTTCGTCGTCATCGTCGCTGTCGCGAAAGCCCTCCGGTCCTTCGATTCCCTCGCCTATCCCCTCCGCTGCGTCGTCCCAGTTTATATCCTCATCCTCTGCGCACGTCGCGTTGGCTTCCTCTCTCCCCCTTTCCTCCCTGCCCCTCTCGCTGTCTGGTGTTAATGGACCCCCTTCCTCTCCCTCGCCACCGTCACCGTCTCCGTCCCCGTCGCTACCGCCCTCCATGCCCGCCGCCCTTTGTTTCACACTCGTCTCTGCCATGTCCGCCGTCGCCGCCGTCCTGTCTGCTGCGCTCTGTGCTCCGTGGTACAGTCGCTTATTGTTGCTCAGGATTAGCTCACGCACCAGGACAGCCTCCTGCTCGTTATTTTGGCTTGCCGATATGCATCCAAAGTTCCACGCTAGCTCCTCCTTCGTCACGTCTATCTTTTTGCAGTATCTCGCGAATGCCGTCCGCGCTTGCTGGGGTGTTATTGCGTTCGGATCCGCCCTGGTCCCCGCCCTGTATCCCATGGCTGTCGCGTTTCGGCAACGGGCTCGATCCCCTCACCCTCACCTACATGACTGACGTGCCCTCTGCGACTTGGCCGCTGGGTGCGGATCACCCTCTGTCAGGGAGCCACACGCTCCCCAAATAGAGTCGCTGGCTGTGCGGCCGTAGGGCTCTCCGCATCGCTGCACGGCGTGCCGCTCGTGGTTGTGGCGCATGGCGTGCGATGGAGGCTGGAGAGCAAGCTGCCGGGCGTCTCCCGAGCGCTGCAGGTGCTGCAGGCCGCCGCTCCCGAGCGGCCGGTCGTCTTCGCTGACGGCACGGACACGGTGTTTGTGCGATCCGCTCGTTCGGATGTCGACGGCGCGCTCCTGCAACAGGTCTCTCGCTCCTCTGGCCGAGTGGTCTTCTCGGCCGAGTGTGGCTCGTGGCCCCGGTGCTACCGCGCAAACTACACAGGCCACGCGCTGCACCACGCCTGTCTCGCAAAGGGGCATCGCACGTGCTTCCCAAACTCTGGCGCGTACATTGGCTCGAGCTCCGCCCTGCTCCGTCTCCTTCCGGAGCTCGTGCGAGCTCAGGCGCCGGGATTCGGCAACAAGGCGGAGGAGGGGGACGACCAGGCGGCGGTGCACTTTGCACTGCTCGGCACGGTAGCGCGAGGGATGGATCTGGCGATGGACGAGGAAAGCGACCTCTTTCTCAACATGAACGCATGCAAGGGCAGCGGCCGGCTCAAAAAGTACCACGGCCTCACCGAGCGCTGCCACTTTGGGCCCTATGAGCCGATGAAGACGCTGACGCGCTCCTATGGCGCGCCGGGCCAGCTGACGATTGGGCAGCGCGTATCCGGGAAAACTCACTCGCCGCTGCTAGTCCATGCCAATGGGAACCACGATCGACTCGACCGCACTTTCTTTGGACGCCCGGGCGCTGGAGGCGAGCTGCGCCTCTCCAGAGAAGCCGCGCGCAACCTAACCGCGCTGTGGCGTGGCGCACTGCTGCCTCAGCCAAACGCACAATTGCTCCACCCAGTGCTGCTGATAGACTCCGCCAGGGGAGGCCCGTGCAGAATAGCGACGCTGGACGAGCTTCTCAGGTCTTAGAGTAGGAGTACGCTGACGCGTGGGACACGGCAGACGCGCGGCCGCCGACGGGGTACGCGTACGGTATACGGGGAGCGGACCCTGAGTTGACCAGGGGTTGTGCGCTGGGTCCTCCTGCTCGGCTCCAGCCAGTAAACAAGTCTTGTCATCAACAGAGTAGATGGATCTGACCTCAGGGCTGATGTGACCAAGCGCTGGTAGCGTGGTTTAACCTCACACCCATGGTCTCACAGTGTGCCGGCAGTCGCCGAGCAGTGTCGCTCACACAAGCCGCAGCACAAGAGACTGAGGGCCAGTGAGGGCAAGCCCATCGCTGTCACAGCTGTGGCAGCCGCACAGTGGGTTGTGCCAACTGTGCAGAGCGTGTGAGCAGCAGAGGAGCTGCTCTCCAGGCTTCTGTCGCAAAGAGCTGCATGCCACCGAAAGCGCTGTCGAGGTTCGCCGAGCGCGGTGCAGGTTGAGGGACACTGTCACCGACGAGTGCGTTGGACTTTTCATTCCGGACAAAGACAGTGGCACGCACACGAGCTGCGGCCGTGCCACTGTCATAGCGGCGAGGCGCGGGACCGTCTGTGGCGAGGTGGGTCGCGTCCCTCGATTTCCTCAACTCAGGGTCCGCTCCCTTTAGCGCCCGCTTAGCGGGGTAGGTGCAGGGAGGCCCACAAGAACGCCGGCACTGCGCCACACACCAACTAAACAGTGGCCAGGGGCGGGGCTTGCATTTTTGCCGTCGCCAGTTC